GCCTTCGAGGGCTCAGTCGACACCAACTTCATCGTCAAATGCCCTCCGGGATGCGCCGCCAGCGACACAGGTGGATATATTGGATGCTGGCACGAGCAAAACACACTTGGCGTGCTGTGCTGTGGTGTCACGGCATGGTGGTGTGGTGTGTGTGCAGATGTGGCTGTGTATGGCGGTTCTGGCGGTCTCTACAGCGATGACTCGTCAGTGTGTCTGGCGGCCATCCACAGCGGCCGCCTCACGCCAGCCAAGGGCGGCATCGTCAACGTCGCCATCGAGACGGGCCGCAACGCCTACGAGGGCAGCACGGCAAATGGCATCACCAGCCAGACCAAGGATCAGCCCACCGACCGCTCCATACTCATCACCCCACTGCCGACCGACTGCCCGGTGGAGTCTCTCACCCACACAGCCACCACCAGCAGCACCACCAGCAGCTTCATTGAGGTGGGTGGCTGACAGTGACCACCCAGACAGACATCCGTATGTCCCACTCTCCCACTCTGCCCATGTGTGTGAGTGTTGTGTGATTGCAGGTGAGCAGCGGTGCGTCGGCGGGGGTCGATCCTTCGTCCTCCATGGCGGCCATGGCTGGGAGTGAGGACGAGGCGGGACTCATGAGCCTGTCAGCCGTCACCAAGCGGACACTGCGGCTGATCAACCAGCAGTGCGCCAAGTTCGACCAGCACGTCGTGCAGGAGGAGGCCAACGAGGCTCGACAAATCCTCGGTAGGTGACAGTGAATGCATGTGTGTGTTGGTGGATGAGATGGCGTCCGTATGTATCTCTGTGTGTGTGCAGGTGAGTGTCGGAGTGTGTTGAAGAGGTCCGTGTCGCTGTACCGCGCCCAGGAGGCCCGCAGCGAGGACCTCTACGAGCACGTCGCTGACACCATCGACGCCTTGACGGCCGTCAGTGAGCGGACGGGCAGTGCACTCGCCACTCTCAGCGCCAAGCTGCAACAGGCCACCGACATGCAGAAGGCCGCACACGCATTCAAGGCACGTCACCTACCACACACACATACACAAAGGGAGAGGCAGAGAGAGGAGAGAGGCGTATACTCCCATGTCATTGGTCGATGTGTGTGTGTGTATTCTGATGATTTGTGCAGGATTGGCGGCTGGATTACGACGCCATATCTTCCTTCGGCGAGGTCTTTGCTGTGACGGACACCGACAAGGCCACGCACGCCCCCAGCAGCTGGTCCATCACATCCACCAGCGACAAGCCAGTCGGCGGCAGGGACCGCGTCATCGCACAGACGAGCGCCATCCGCTCCTTTGGCGGCCTCCCTGGCCAGGGATCACTGGCGGTCCTCAAGTCGCACCGGTCCTATGACTTCCGCCTCACCGTCGAGGCGTATGTCGAGTCGGGCCCCGGCACTTACGGCATCGCCTTCCGCGTGCGCGACCCTGCCAACATGTACCTGCTGGACATGACGATGGCCAAGAGCAAACGGCTGATCAAGATCCACGACGGACAGCCAAGCGTCATCAAAGAGATCCATGACGGCGGGTCAGCCACCCATCCCCACACACACTGACGTTGACATCAACCAAACCATCTCTCTCTCTCTCTCTGTCTCTCTCTTTGTCTGTCTGTCTGTCTGTCTGTCTGTGTGTGTGTAGGTATCTGCCAGGCACCTGGTACACGTATGAGATTACGGCCAGGCAGGGACACATCACTGTCGCTGCGGGTACATACGTCACCCACCCACACACACATATAACCACTCGCACCCACTCGTGGATCTCTCTCTGTCTGTCTCTGCCTGTGTGTGTGTGGATGGAACATGGCACAGGTGCGAGCGGATCTGGGCGGCTTGTGGTGGTCATGTCGGCTCACGACAGCGAGATAGCGAGCGGCAGTGTGGGCCTCTTCACCAGCGGCATGCACCACGGCGTCTTCTTCGACAAAGTGACTGTCGCCGCCTGTCCGTGCACGAAGCTGTCCAAGCTGCCCCCGCCACCAAAGCCACCAAAGTGCAGCCTCTTCCGGTCACTCAGCAACAAAGACACCCAACCAGCCACACCACGACAGACGGAGCCATCCACTCACTCAGTCATCTGTGGTGTGTCGTGTCTGTCACGTTCATGTGTGTGTGTGTGCAGTGAGGACTACTACGGCCGGTTCGAGTTGGTCTATCACCTTCACGAGCCCGTCGACAGCCAGGACGGCCCGTCGGAGTGGCGCTACCGTGACCACATCCACGGCCGCACCAAGACGCTCGCACAGCTGTCGGCCGTCAGTGGCAAGGAAGGCATCGGCACCCACGTGTTGCTCAAAGGCCACCGCACCTGCAGGGACGGCCGCCTGTCCGTCGACTTGCTGCCCGAGTGCGATGGTGACAATGCCAATGCCAATGCGGCGGTGGGTGTGGTCTTCCGCCACATTGACAACAACAACTTCCACCTGGCGCAGGTGTCGCCCTCGGCCCTCAAGCTGCGACGCGTGACGGCCGGCCAAGCAGCGGATGTGGCCACCAATCCCAACGGCGGCTGGGCAGCCGGCAAGTGGCACACACTCGACGTCACCTTCAACGGACCCATTGTCAACGGTACACACACACACACACACACGGATGGACACACCCATGATGTGTGTGGATGTGTGTGTGATGCAGTTCGTCTGTCTCGCGTGGACGAGGGGCCGTCGTCAGTCTGCGAGCTGAGTGTGAGCGATCCGTTCGCACACACCGACGGGGCTGTCGGTCTGTCGTCCAATGGCTGCGGGGGCGTGGCCTTCGACACCTTCAAGCTCATGCCCTCCGACCTCACACGCGACAACACCGCCCCCCCACCCACACACAACACATCCACCACCACAGCAACCACAGCCACCAGCGGCAGGAGTGCCGGCCATTCCGTGTGCGCGTCGGCAGTGCACTTCCGCCAGAGGCAGCAGCGGTGCGCTCAGCTGGTGGGTCCCGACGGCGGTGAGGGCAGCGGTGGCCAGTGCCGCAGCGCTGGCACGGACTTCTGCACGTCATGCTGCAAATACCACACCGCACTGTCAGTCAGCACACAGACACAGACAGAGAGACAAGGGAAACGAACTGACACATCCTTGTCTCCCCTTCCCTCTGTGTGTGTGATTTACGTGTGTGTCAGCTTGCCTTCGTCGGTGGGGTCTTCTTGCGAGAGTGCGTGTCGCGCCAACGATGATCTGGCGGCCGCCACAGAGACCGCCCTCGCCGAATACGCATCGGCGTGCGCCACCGACTCGGCTCTGTTTGCCCACTGCATTTCCAAAGACGACAGCGAGGTCGATGTGGCGTCGTGCGTGAGGGAGGCTTGTGAGCTGTGCTGCCAGACGAGTGCACACCACCCACTGGCCATGGGAGAGGAGCGGCAGTGGGAGACCGACACCTGCAAACAGCAGTGCAACGGAGAAGGTGGCAACACACCGCTGCTCACAAGTAGGCTGACTTGGCTGGCACAGAGAGATGAACAGACAGAGAGTGACAAAGCTGAGGGAGGGGGGTTGATGTGATGTTGTGTGTGTGTGTGTGTGTGTGTGTGCAGTGATGTCTGCTGTGGCGGCATGATATGGTCGTGGTGCGGCCGACTGACTGACCAAGACGACATAATCCACTGACCAAGACGATGCATGAGTGTCTCTGACTGATGTGCACACACCGACACAGACAGACGTCACATAAAGAGACAATTAGGTGCATGACTTGAAATGCTTGATGAATATATGAATTGAATCCCAACCATGCGTATGCATGTCGCCATCCCTCCCCTCCCTCTAAATGTCACTTGCTCCCCGCCCAATACGTTCACGATACGTTCGATGGCATCACAGCCGACAACCCCCAAGGCTGCCCCACAACAGGCACACACACACACACACACACACACACACAGAGAGAGAGAGAGAGAGAGACGCCCTCCATGTGTGTGTGTTTGTGCAGTTGGTGATCGCCGGCCGATAATATGGATATCTTTCTTTTTGGCGAGTTGTGTAACTCGGGAGCTACATGCACCGAAGCTCTGTGTGGTGAACAACGGACAAGTCGCTGGCTGGCTGGGGTCCCAGATAATGAGGGAGACATTCGCTGGTCGATAAACCGCCTTGCTCATGGACGACGATCGACCGGCCGTGAACGCTAATACATGAGGTCGAATTTCCACCATGAGCGAACACTTCTTCAGAGTGAAATAAAAGCGTGTTCGGTCGTGTCTCGTCCGTCTGTGTCGATCTATCATGTGATGCTATGGTGGTTCATGCAATGCATCGGCCACACGGCATGCATCAGAAAACAACCATTGTCTGATGGACGAACGCAATCAATGCATTATATATGTAAGTGTCGCTGTACACCCGGTGTGACGTGTGGACACTGACCCACCCCCACTCGCGCACACACCCACTGGATGCATGCAGGCGCACACATGGCATGGCTGCTCTTCTTCCTTGCGGCTGCGCGTCTCCCATCTATCTCTCTCGCCGCCGCGCGTGCACACCACACACACACCTCTTGGCCGGCCGACCAGGTGTCAGCCAGAGCTGTTCTCAGCTCTGACTGCATGGCTGGCTTCGCTTGCCTGGGCTGCTGACTGCATGGCTGGCTTCGCTTGCCTGGGCTGTCTGTCTGTCTGACTGTACACTGCACGCGCCACTGCACGGAAAAAACGCATGTCAATAGATCATCCATCCATCCAAATCCACTGCATGCTGCATGCCCTACTCTTCCCCTCTCTCGTTAACTTGGCGCCTGCCTGTCTGCATCAGTCAGTCCGAGACAGATGACACAACAGATGAACCGAACCACTAGTTACCCAGGTAGATAGAACCCCCCTACCTGTGTCTGTCTACACGCATATATATGCCTAGTCGTGGGCTCGCTCTACACAGACAACAAGACACAGACGACACGCAATAGATATCTATGAAATGGGTGGCAATCAGTGGATGAAATGAATGTGGCATGGCGTCGTGTGACTGTGTGGATGGATGGATAGATAGACATAGACAACAGACAGCAAAACCAGGATTGATTGGCTGCCGTGAGCGAGCGAGTGAATGGCGACCACCTGACCAGGAGAACGCAGCAGAGTGCGCAGAACCTGGCGACAGACTGACAGACTGATAAAAGAAACCATCAGTGTGTGTGGGTGTGTGGTGTGGTGACTATGCAGAGGAAAGAAAGAGGCACAGGACGGACGCACCCCACAGACAGACAGACAGACAGACGGCGAAAGGGAAAGAGCCACGGAAGAAAGAATGACGCAAAAATAGAGCGAGCAGCTGCAATGCGTCGGTGTGGGGGCACTCAAGCACTCGCCTGGGCGTGTCCCCTCTGTACACGGCACGGACACCAGACCGTACGTCATGGCCGGCCACACACCACCCACTCACTCGACCCCACTCACTCAACACCCATGGCATGCACTAGTGCCACACACACACATCCAGTAAGGCTTGCGATAAGATAGAGGACAGATCATCAGAGTCCACACACACTCGCCCCGAGGCCTCAAGGCCTCTCAAATCTCCGCCCCCTCCCTCTGCC